CCCACTGCCCCAGCACAGCCCCCGTCGCCCCCAGCCCTCCCAGCAGAGCCCCCCGGGCCAGTGCAGGTGCGTGGGATGAGCTGTCACCCAAAAACGAGGGGCAGGGGTCCCCCGCACTCCTCAGCAGGTCAGCAAAGAGCTCCACTGCATGCAGGTGCCCATCTCCGATCCTGACAATTTTTGGGTATAGGTGGCACTGGGTAGGAAATTCCCGCTGCGGAGGCAGGGAGTGACGGGCTCTGCTCCCGGGGCACGCCACCACCCTGCCCTCACCCAGGGAAAGCAAACCCAGCTTGCGAAGGAAAGCATTTTGCCCCAGCCTCACGGGCCCCGCGGAGCGCAAACAGCCACAAGGGATGGGATGAACCTGCCGCAGGTTAAACCAGGCTCATGGCACCTCCAGCAGCCCCGCGAGCGCCGGCACCGACCCCGGCTCCAGCCGCGGGGCACGTCCCACCAGGGCTGTCCCGGGTGAACTCGGGGCAGTCACTTACTGGTGAAGGGCTCAAACACCCACTCGCTTAACCTCGACTCACTGAACGTCTCCAGTCGATACTGGAAGAGAAAAATCACGTGCTCACCACAGAGACAACTGGCACGCAGCAGGCATTTAGATTTGAACCCTGACTTGCTAAGAACAGGTCTTGGGAGCATTCCCAGGCTCTTCTGCCTCTGAGTCCAACTTGTGTAAGAATAACTGGTTGGCACTTCCACGGCGGAAAAAAAAAAAGTGTGTTTTGCCATTATTTGGCAAATGCTGTGCCTTATTTTCTAGGGAAGGCCCAGACGTTGTTTGTGAGTAATCTGAATAACCGCACAAGTGGAACGAACACCAGAGTAAAGGAGTATCTGCCGCAAAGTGCCCGTCAAGGGGCACTCCCAGCACCCTGCTCCTCACTTCTCTCGCACCGTCCCCTCCGAGAAGCCCCAGGAAAGGGCGCAGGGGGGGGCGCCGCAGCCCGGGCAGGACCCGCGCAAAGCCCGGCACAGAGCCCTCCCCTTCGGTTTGCCGTGTACTGCCCCTCGGGCAGCCGTTCCCCCACCAGCAGTGACTCAAGAGCCAGCTACTAACCCCAGCAGGCACCAAATCGGCAATCACTATCTCCCGTGAGAAGAGTGACAATAGGGAATCAAAGCCCACATGTTTCTGTGAAGTTACACATTACCAGAACAGCTTCGCGGCCAGGGGGATGCGTGGCGTTACAGGTCACTCGGTGCTTGCCTGAGCCCGAAACACCAAGCTGCAGGGCAGGTTCCTGCAGTTCAGCTAAGGGAAGGGCTCTTTTGCCAACGCTGGGCCACCAGAGGAGGCTGCCCGGGGCTCTGCCGAGGGGGTGCCTTGCTGTAGAGGGGGACGGACCTCTCAGCTACAAAAGCCTGTAGCCAGCTCCTCGGCAGACTTTCCTTGGAGGGCCCTCGTATGTCTGTGTTCAAAGTAGGATGGCTTTCCCGTTTCATTTAACGACGGGCCCCACGTCCCTCTGTCATCAGACATTATCCCAGCCACCCAGAAGAGCAGCCCAAGAGGCCAAGTCCAGAGGTACTCACCCGGTACGTCGCCAGGTGCCGCAGCCGCCGGATGGCCAGCTCTCCCGCGGCACTGCGCCCGTAGCAGCACCGGGAGGCCACGAAGCGCAGGAGGGCTCGCCTGGCCGCCGCCTCCGTCACCGGGGGCATGCTGGGGGGCAATGGGAGCAGAACAGGTTTATGCTCTTAGCTTCCCCTAAAGAATTAGCTGGAAGCATTCAGTGTATTTAATCTACTGCCAAAAAAAAAAAAAAAAGTGAAGTAGAGCCCATTTGGGAGCACGTACCTCTTTTACAGAATCACAGCTGGCATCTTTCTTATTAGAAAAGAAAAACAGACTGCATTCTAAAAAAAACCTTTGTGCAATATCAGTAAGGTCAGTATTCAGGAGTGGTCTAAAATAAGTGTGTGCGTAAACCCTCGCCTTCAGCAGGCCGGGTAGAGAAGAGCAGGTTTGAAATATTGCTGTGTCTCTGCAAGCTGCAAATCAACAGGTCCCCTGTCAGCTCACGGGATTCGAAATGGCACTCTTTATGTTTCCAGACCCAAGGACCCCTGTTACGCTGCGCTGTTTTCTGTTTTCAGTCAATAGAAACAACAGCAGAAAGACTAACTTGCGCATGGAGCACATCCCGTGCGCCCTCGGCACCCTGCGCAGGTCCCTGCAGGTGTCCTGGGCAGCACAGGGCACTCCTACCTCCCTGCCAACGGGCCGAGAGAAAAATGAGGGGGAAAGGAAAAACATACGCCTAAAAGCTGGCTTTCCGGTGTGGTTCCTCCAAAATCCTCATTAGTGGTCTTTGTGAGTAAGAGAAACACCTACAGCGACTGCTCGAGCCCAAACCGGCTCCATCTGCCCCCACCGTGACACCTCCCTGTCTCTCGGGAATGTTTTCATGGGTTTGGTTTGGTTTTTTTGACCAGATGTTTGTTTCTCTAACAAGCCTTCACCAGGCATTGATCAAATTCAAAGCTCCCATGTTTATTTGTCCACCTTCCTGTCCTTTCAGGACTGTGCTTATGAGATGCTGAGAGAGATCACTGTCCTGCAGCCATTTTTCCCCCTCCTATTAAGGCTGAGAAATGTGATACCACCAGATATCCAGTCTGAAAACCATGTGTAAATGAAGAAAACAAACAGGAGAAGACTCCTGCCATCCTATACTACTTTGGAGCAAATGCTGCTTTTTGAGCTGTGCTGCTTTTTTTCTTATTCTCCAGGTGCAAAGGGAAAAGGTGTTTGTTCAGGTTTGGGTTTGGGTTTTCTTTTTAAACTCAAGATGAAGATCAGGAGAGACAGACAATAAGCAATACATAAAAGATAGAATAACAAGGTCTCCAAGAGAATAAGTTGCATAAAACCCATGTGAAACACATATTCCAAAGAAAAACCTCGAGAGTTTGGGCCCTGCCGCTGAGGAGATGCTCTGGCCACAGCTGGACAGAGGCAAGTTTGGCAGACTCGCCGCTGGGGACGCTGGGCTGTGGGGAAGGCAGCCCTGCACCCGTACACCCACACTTTACCCCCGCCCCGAGGCTCTCCCCCACTCGGTCAGCGCTGGTGGGTCCATAAAACGCCTTCTCCCCACCTCGGCTGCCCAGCACAGAGGGATGCGCAGAGGGATGCGGGGATGGCAGCTCTTGGCACCCACCTGAGGGCTGGTGACAATGGCAGCAGGGGGCACAGGGACGATGCCAGCACTGTCGGTGCCACAGGGGTCCGCATCTGTCCCCGGGGATCAGCCCCGGCACACCACAGGGTGCCGATGCCTGTGGTGGGGGTGGTCTTTTTGCCATCTCCGGGGCGCTGGGAGCCCAGACCTGAGCCAGCGTGGGGGACTGGCCCCAGGGCTCCCCTCCCGCCCCGGGCTGCTTTCAAGAGAAGGGCATAAAATTGGTTCTGTTTTGCCTCAAACCAGGACATACGCTCCCCCCAAAGCTGCTTACCTGGGCTGCATGAAGGGGGGCCCGCTCCTCCGCTCCCCGGGCTCGCCCACCGGGTCCGAAGGTGCTGGCGGGGGCTCCGCTCCTACGGGAAAGGGCAACCGAGGAACTCAAGCCCGGGTTAACCCCAAGGCAGATTTTGCTCACAACTGCAGGAGATTCAGCAGCAGCAGCTAAAGCCACTGCCGGATCAGCCGTTTGCTTTGCACCAAACACCCCCTACACCCCAGCCAGAAGCTGCTGCCGGTCCGGCTCATCCCAGTGGGGTCCCAGTGCAGCACTGGGAGGGCTCCCAGGTGAGTCGGGCGGCCGTGCCCATGCCCGTGCCCACAGCACTGGCCTCGCTGCTTCTCTCAGGGCAGTGCAGCCGTCCCAGCTCCCCACTCCACGGGGGTCTCGATGACTTTCCAACTGGAGAGAAGCGCAGCCAGATGTGAAAGCCCAAAACACATCTGTCTGTGAGCGAAGCGGGCCAGGAGCAGCAGCTCAGGAGGTAAAAAGGGGTCTGCGAGCCGGGCAGGAACAAGCCCACTGCAGCAGCTGTAGCTGAGAGGAGGGGGTCGGTGGGAGCGGGTCGGGCAGCGCTGCGGCCTCTTGGCCGCCGGCCGAGTGAAGTGACAGGAGTGCCAACTGTCAGAAAGACGGGGGGTCAGTGCCCCGCACGTCCCGCTGCCCCGCACGATCCCGCAGCCGTCCCGGGGATGCGGACAGCATCAGGGGACGTCCCCGCTGCGGGCCCGGGTCACCCGTAGCGCGGGGGGGCAGCGGGGCGGGAGGGGCGGGGGGGGACCGAAGGCGCCACAGCCCGTAGGAGCGGGGGGATGCGCTGCCCTCTCCCAGAGCCTCCTCCCCGGCAGCTCCGTCCCTGCGCTGCCGCGGCACAACACTGACACCCTGCGTAGGTGACAAAGCCCTGCAGGTCCGCAGCTCCCCCCGTGCCCGGCAGCGCCGGCACCGGGCGTTGCGAGCCCCGGAGGGGACCCGGCAGCCCCTGCCCTGGGCTGGGGGCCGGGGGCGCGGCGGGACCCCCGGCCGGGCTGGGACACCCGCACCGGCGGGAGAGGGGCACCAGGGACTCTCCAAACACGCCGAGACCCTCTCCGGTAAGGCGGTGAGGAGTTGTAGCCGAAGAGCTCAAAGTTGCCCCCACGTCCCCCCTTCCCGGGGCAGGAGCGGAGGGGCGAAGGTCCGCGCCTCTCGGCTGCCTCTGAACCGCCCTCCGCGGTCGGGCAGCAGAGCCGCTGCTCCGGCGTCACTGGCTTTTGCCAGAAGTTTCCAACTTATATTAGTTCTCTCCATGGGACATCGGCTGTTTGTTGCCTTAGGTACCGCTCTAAAAATAACCCTGGTAGCAACTGGTCCTCCTGATGCCCAACACAGAAACAATTCTCTCTATTAAGCCTTTTATCCGGTGACCTTTCATATCACAGCAGCTGATTACGAAAATTCAGTCTGTGCAAGAACAGAGCAGGCAGAGGAGCCAGGAAACGCCAGCCTGGCAGCAGCACGCAGCCTGGCCGGCACGGAGACAGGCTGAGGGTGGCCATCCATCAGCTTGATTTACTAGACTTTTCTTCTGAGAGCATGCTCCTTTCTTCCGGGAAGCTAAATTAATCTCTGCGTTATTTCTTCCTATGAAAATAAGAAACTACATGCTTCATTTGAGATGTCACATCCCTCATGCAGGGGAAGACAAAGTTGTCCTTGAGCTGAAGGAGCACAGGTTTCCAAGTAATGGTGAGCAATATATGGAGAACTTCCTTGTGAAAAATAAATCCGTACGATACCTTCAGTGTGACTATCTGGGTCGTGTCTAGATCAACAGAAATATCTTCTCCAAGTGGTGGGTAAAGTATCTCAAACAATTTTGGATTCGCTGGCCAATTAGTTCGCAGACAATGTGCGTCTACCGGGGCTTCAGTCATGATAAAGCTCCAGCTGCCTCCTCGTGCCGCACCGGAGAGCTGACGCTCCTTCCCTCTGTTGGGGTGTTGCATTGCCGGTTGTTGGGTTGGGTGTTGTGGTATGTCTGTATGCAATTGTCTACTCATAAGGAAAGAGACACACAACTAGAATTGAAAACACTGTGAATTTCCTCATTCAGAAAATGCAACGTTTACAAACCTCTAAGGGCTGAAAGGACTTTGCGCACGTTAGCGAGGATCCCCGTCTCCAGTTCACCCAGCCCTGCGCAGCCCTGCGCGGGGGGCAGCGCCGTGCTCGGCACGCGGCGGGAGAAGGGCGGAGGGAAGATGAGTGCCTTCCCTTACTGTGCTGCGGAGAAATAGTCCAGAAGCATGAACTCCAAGGTTCTTATTTTAACTATTATATCGCAACAAATCCTTTATTTTCATTCCAAAATATCATGGATTTCTGTACATGTTACCAAGAGAACCTGAACACCTATTTTTAATGTGCAAATGTTAAACAAAAACCTGTTTACAACAAAAGATGGAGATAAGAGTGTAACTACCAAATTCCAGCCTGATGAAAATGGTTTAAATGACCAGGTTAAAAATATCCCAAATTTGGGGTAAATAAATCAACTGCACGGTTGTTGCTACGGTGATGTTGTTGGAAGTCACAATAGTCTGTAAACATGAACACATAGCTCCATTTTAAAACAACAATGAGTCTGAGATAGACATTGACCAAAGCCAGGAAATTCAGAGCTTATGCTGTTACTTATCTGATATTTCAGGTTTTGCTCTGTATCATCGGGATGCAGCTCTAGACACACCAAAATAGACAGCAAAATTCCTACAGCACGCAGCAGCAGAGGAGCAGGCGCCAGAATGGGACCGAAGCTGCGTTTGTACACGACCCATGGCACCGCATCCCCCGAAACCCGGTGCGCTGCAGCATCCTTGGCCCCAAGCGCACCGCCTGCATGGCCCCTGCGCCGCAGCCCAGCTGCTCTCTGGAGCCGGCATCAAAACATCATTTTACCTTTGGTTGAAAATCAGGTTATAAAAGGTTTGGCTTTTTTTAAAGCAAATAGGGCGATGCTGGACAGTTGTTAAAGTATGACCAACCCTCTCCGGGCAATTCTGTGCGCTGCCGTGTTCCTGCCCTTCCTGCACGGGGACACCGACAGCTTTCAGCATCTTCCACAGAAGGACTCCCTGTCCTCTGACGGCCCCCGGGACGGTGCAGCGTCTCCCTGCTCCTGTCCCGGTGAGAGATCGGCTGCAATGTGGGTGAGA